TCTTCACTGCAGCAAATAAACATGGTCCCTTTGCTACTCTCCCATCTTCATTCCTCCTAGTTATGTCAGTTTCATGGTGCTATCACCTTACACAATTGCTGTAACCCAGAAAAACTATGAGTAAATTAAAATTTTATAAGTTATATTCAACTTTTATAAAACGAATTCCATTCTAAGTGCAGTAGGCAAGCTTTCTATTTAAAGAAACCTTTGATGGACCCTTTTGTAGTGTGAAAAATTAATCCCAAATGTATCTGTTTTACAGTTCCAAACTCTGGATCCCTGGTTTTCTTCTCCCGGGCAGCTAACTAGGTCATATCAGTCTATTCTCAGAGCCCAGCCCCACACAAACACTAATTGGTTTTCACATCTGAAAGTTTGTGTATCAGTTTGTCATTTCTAAATTTACATGATGTAATCCATGTACAAGATGGGAGATTTCATACCCTGTGGGAGGAGCAACTGCCACATGCTTAGTTTTCTAAATATATCTAGAGATACAAAATATTTTAAAAGAGGCAGAACCTCAAGAGTGCATTTCTCAACTTCAGATTTTACCAATTTGTGGGTTTGGTAGGAATTAGGGAATTCCTATTTTCTGTGGAGAAAATCTCTGACACAACTTTCCACCTCTAAATTTATTTTATAAAGAAAAATGATAATAATTAGAAACAAATATACAAACATAAAAACAAAACCTCCATCAAATCAACCATTACAAAACTCAAACTTATTGGATGTGAACTTCATGACCAAAAATTGAGAAGTAAGTGCATCATTTTTCAGGACATTGTTGAGGAGTCCCCACATCCATACATTAGTAGGGTCTATAGGAAAAACTTTGTGCTGATTTTTCAGGATCACAACACCATACCATAAAAATTACATTATAACTCTGTAATTTGAATAAGCTAGAAAATCCAAAGGTCGGGGTTACTGGTACATTGCAAGGACTTTTGGCAGGGACTATGCAGGTAATAAGTCATCAAAATAGTCCCCTTTGAGCAAGATGCTATTCCACCTTGGCTTTCTCTTTCCTCTTCCATTTCTCCCATTAGCTGTACCCACTTCTTACATAATGACTGGAAGGTTAGTATTGTACCATTTCCTTACAGCATGTTTCTAATACTTGGTTGTGTATTGGAATCACCTGGGGAACTTAAATCATTCTGATGCCTGGGTGCCAAGCCCATGGATTTTGGTTTAATTGGTCCTGGGCAGTGGTACTTGTAAAAGCTTCCCAGATGATTCTAATGTGCAGCCAAAGTTGAGAAGCACTGTCTCACAGGCTGTTAAACTCATGGCCCTGCTGTACTTGTCCATCAATTCTTATGTCCTTGGGCTCAGGCTCTTCGACTTTAAGCATCTATTGATCGCTGGTCTCACTTCCTCTGCCTTCATAGACACAAGCTGAAAAGGCAGACTTGGGAGAAATAGCTGAATTTATTCACAGATTGACTTTGACTGGAAGTCCAGCAAATACAAGTTTTGGCAAAATATATCAAGCTTCTGGAACATGCCACCTCCTATGCCAGAGAAACTCAGAAAGTGCAGGAGAGTCCTGAATGAGAATTCCAGCTTTGCCTACTTACACTCTATTAACTTGGGAAAGTTGCTTGTCTTTTCTGAGCCTCAGTTTCCTCATCTATAAAAATTGGAATACCTACTTCCTAAGGCTGAATTAGACGACTAAAGGTTTAAAATAGTGCCCAGCATGTTCAATAGTGACAGCTATTTAAATGAAAAGAGAAGTGAAAATAGTTAAGGTTCATTCACTGATTACACACCAAGTGAATAATAATTACCATTTATTGAGCCAATTTATCTAATTTTTTATTCCTTATCTTCTCAAGAAATATTTCTTACTGACTTTATGCTAATCATACTGCTAGATACTAAGGATATAGTAAGGAATAGAACACACCTAATTTCTATCTTGACACATTTTAAAACTTAGTTAAATGCTTTATCTATTCCTAGAGTTGATTTCAAGTAGCACAAGGATTGAGCTTACTTGGAGGAATGGTACTAACAAACTGACCATGAATGCACCCTTACAGCAAATCCTCAAGGAAATGCCATGCTGTGAAGAGAAACTTACACCCAGCAGACCAACAAACACTTATCAGAGTTCCATAACAGTCATGAAAGGCCAAAAGGCTATAAAACAGTTCATGAGAATATCAAAGGGAAGATCTCAAAAAAGCTGATGCTTTTTTTTCACTCAGCATGTAGTTTTAAAAAAATAAATTAGTAGTGGTATACATCTCTAGATTCTTGAAGGCCAGAGAAGCTCTGTTCCTTCCACCCCTTATTTGCCTAACTGGGACCACTGCTGTGCCTCCTTTTCTGTGTAGCTCTCCATGTATTGTTAATTCTGTGTCTTACCTACTTTATTAGAACGATCTTTTTTGCTTGGTTCTGCTGCCATCTTTCAATCAACTAGTGCCACTATTATGACAATAGTACCTCTCCTTATAACAACTCTAAGAGCTGGTATTATTACCAGTATTTTACATGTGAGATTTAAATTACTTGACCAAAGTCACTGAGCTAGTACATGGCAAAGCTAAGATTTAACCTCCCATCGATCTGATTTCACAGCTCATCCTCTTAACCTCTGTTTCAACTGGACAAACCTCAGGTGACTGTGCTTTAGAAATATCAAGATCTGGCTGTTCAGAGAAATAACTTTAAAAGCCATAAGTAGAGAATAAGAACAGCAGATTGAACTGGAAGATGATGATGCAACCAAACCTAATGTAATCTTGGCTTATGGGTCCTTTGAAATTATGTGAAAGACTAAAATCCAATAAAAAATGGTGTCCAGTTTGTGTGGTTATCAATAAAAACTACTGATACTTAATTTCATGACATTCCATAGATTAAAGACTTATGAATCAGAGTACCATCTCTTCATAGCTCCAGCTGCAACTCTTTTGTCAGATCAGGAATATAGTAACTACAGCTAAAAAAGCAACAATTGCAATATGTAGATTGCATAAAAACCCCTGCTAACTCCAGGTAATCTTTTCCCACTTAAGACCTTTACTCTGATACTGGAGTGTGTAAGTGTGTATGTATATGTAGGTGTGGGTGTGAATGTGTATGTGTAACTGGGCCATGTGCAAATGCTTTGGCACTCATGTGGAAGGAGAGAGATTTTAAACCAGTCTTTTCTGGTCTTCCATGGGTTGGAAAGTATACACTCTATAGTGTGCCTATGAAGCTCACAGTGACTGCCTTCTTTTCTCCCCATCTACAACAGGGGCTTCTGAGAGCCATGTTTATATCAATGAAATATGACCCCATTCTTACTCCAGCTATCCATGACTTTTGCCATATGGTTTTGCAGTTCTTCCCACTAGAAATCAAGTATATTTTTTCTTCCTATTGATGTTGAAGTCAGCTGTGAAACTTGCCAATGGAACGTTGTCAGATGATACAACTTGAGCAAAGGCTTTAAATGTGCATGTAAATTCAGGCTTGTCCTCTTGAGTTACTAGCCTCTGTCTATGAGAGGAATATACCCCAGGTAGTACATTCTTCCATGTGGGTATCCAAGGAGGGTGAGAGACACAAGGAACAGACCTGAACAAGATCTGTAGCTCACAGTCAAGCTCATCCAAAATGAGCCCACAAACAAGTGAGCAAGAAATAAATGCTTATGGACTGAATACCCCTGAATTCTGGGATGGGTTATTATACAGAATTATTATAGCATTATATGACAGATATATTTCTCCTTGAAACTTAACACTTAAGCTGAGAGACAAAGAGACTACCTATTGGGTACTGGGGCATGTAAATGGCAGAGGTAGCTATGAAATGATGTTGATCTTTTATTCTGACCTACCTCTTTGCTTAATCTTTTTGTTTTTGCTCCTTTTTTCATCAAGGCAAAGTTCACAGAACATAGAATTAACCATTTAAAAACTACAGTTCAGGGGTATTTAGTACATTCACAGTTTAACAATCACCACTTCTAATTCCAAAATATTTTCATCAACCCCAAATAAAACTGGGTGACAATTAAGCAGTTACTCTTAATTTCTCCCTCCTCCCTATCCCCTGGAAGCACCCATCGGCTTTTTGTTTTTATAGATTTACCTATTGCTATGGACTGGAGTGTGACCCTTCTCAAATTCATATGTTGAAACTTTAGCGTCCCATGGGACTGCGTTGAAGAGAAGGTCTTTAAGGAGACAATTAAGGTTAAATGAAGTCATAAGCATAAAGCCCTGATCCGGTAGAGTTGGTGCCCTTATAAGAAGATAAAGAGACACCAGAGCTCTCTCTGCCATATAAGAACACAGAGAAAAGGTGGATTTCTAGACAATAGGAAGAGAACCCCAACCAGAACCCCAACCATGATGACAACCCAATCTTGGACTTCCAGCTTCTGTACTGTGGAAATAAATTTCTGTTGTTAAAAGTACCTAGTATATGGTATTTTGTTATAACAGCCCGAGCTTTATCTGGTCGGGCTAAATGTTGATGGACATTTGGGCTGTTTCCATCTTTTGGTTATTATTAATATTGCTCTATAAACATTTAAGTACAGGTATTTGTTTAAGTACCCATTTTTAATTTTAGGGTATATTTTGAGGAGGAGAGAAATTTCTGGGTCACATGGTAATTCTCAGAACCCTGAACTCTTGTTGCTCAGATCCTCAAAGCTGTTTCCTGGTTTTCATGTAAGAATTCTTCCTTGGATGTCATAAAATAGCCCAGAATACTTTTAATACATCCCTTTTGTTGCTCTAAAACAGACATCTCTTACTTAAGCTAGGTTAATGCCTGTTACTTGCAACTAGAGGAACCTAGACTAACAGAGAATAAAATTTTGAATTTTTAGCCATAAGAAAAATGGGCCGAAAACTCCTCTTTCAAAGTTCTCCAGAGGGATGGTCAACACTTGGTGATAGTAATCAGTTGACTGTCTTGATAAGATTCTGAAATAAGACTTTACTATGAGATTTGCTTAGATTACTACTCACCTTTGGGAAAAGGCAGCATAGGACCTTGCATTTAGAGCATATTCCAATTCGAAACGACTTCGTAGAGCTGACACATGACTCCTGCCAGGTCCTCCGCGACTCTCCAGGCAATCAGAAGATGAAGAAGGTGAGAGAGACCCGCTGCTGTTACTTGATGCAGGAGACATCAGCTGAGTGGAGGAGGGGCAATTTCAATTGTAAAATAATCCCAACATGTGTGAAGGCATAACATAAAATATGGATTTAACTTTCTGTTCTAAGGTTTCCCACATTTTAATTTCTATTCGCTTCAGCTTGCTTTTGGCTTTTTCTTTCAGGGAAAACCTAATGGCAACATCTGGCTAGCTTAATTTAGTTTTTTGACCCAGTTCTGTGCTGAGAGCTGGCCTATTAAATTTATGCTCATCTTTCTGAAAACACAGTAGGCCCAAATCAGATTCATAAAATATATTTAGAAGGTTATCATTCAATGATCAAAAGATTCTTCACATTCTTCACTATGGCAATAAGATTGATGGCAGAGTTTCTTTAAATCATAGCTAAAATTATTCCCTTTACATGAAATTATTCCCTTCAAGTACAATGAATTTACACAGTTTTCCAAGAATACACCAATTTTATAAGAAGAAAAATGCTTTAATGCCTGGTAAGTGTTTTCCCATATTGGACAGGCCAATCCCTTTGCCACATGGTAGTTCTTCAGATGTTTAAAAACAGCTGCTGGACTCATCCTAACTTTCTCTTTTCTGTGGTAAGCATCACTAGTTTCTTCAACCGGTTTTCATGTTACATGGTTTTCAACTTATTCACCAGTAAAATCTCTCTCTTCTAAAATGTGTATCCCAGTTTTAATTACTCCTTTAAAAGGCTCAGCGACACAACTGGATACCACCTGGCTATTTCAGAACAAGAATAATCATATCTGTTATTTTGCAAAAGAGTCACTTTATATTCTAACTCCCAATGAGTTTATTAACCACAAGAATTCATGATGCTCCTAAGCCACGTCTCCACCATTTGATACTTTCATTATTTTTTTTTTGACTCTGATGCAGGACATTATAATCATATGCATTCCTGTTAAAGTTATTCTTATTAGACATGTACTATTACTTCAACCTCCAAGAATGTCTAGAGTCCTGCTTTCAAATATTTTCTGTCCCTCTTTATTGTATCTGCTTTGGTCCAAGCCATTGACTGAAAAGTTGAAGAGTATGAAGGATAAAGTCTTATGGAACTGCATAAGACAGCCTCTTAGGCTGACTCTGGTCCATTAATTGGTGCAATTCAGTTCAGCAAACTCTCTTAGCATATAGACCATTCATCTTCTGCCCTGGGGGCAGAGTATAAATAAGAGGCTTGATCAATATATTATAATAAGACAAGCTAGTTTAGCAGATCCTGTCATGGTCCTAGTTTCTAGAATCCACCTCCAGATGGATCTATCCTATATGCTTGGAGCAAACTTGCTGGAATCCTATGTTTCTAAATGAGAGGGCATTTTAAATTCAAGCCTTGAAGCTGTCTCTTAACACCCAAGGCTTCTACAGATGCTTTTGTCCACAGGGCCTGCTGAAGCCCCACCAAATATGTGACTACTTCTCCCCACTTTCTGTAAGTCCCAGGATTGAAGAAGAGAAGGGAAAGAGGATCTTAGGTCTAAACACTGAAGCTTCTTTCCACACAAAAGTTTTCTTTAGAACTTCCAGCAAAGAGTCATGAGACAGAGCCACTCACTGCAGGCTGTAACTGCAACTAGGTCCAATGACTCTTAGTTGAGATATTTTATTAAGGGAAAAAACTCTGCTTTTCTGGGATGGCTCCACTTAGAGACTTGGTTGTACAATCTCAGGTTAATGCTATTTCTCTCTGTTGTTGCTCCTCCCCTGCATATGCAAATGTATATATGATCCTCTATGTGTGATATATGTCTTCCTCTGCCAGTAGCACTTATTTGCATTTGAGAATATATTATTTTTGAATCAGTGTGCATGTTTTAGTTCCCTCACCTATTTTGAAGTGCTATCTCTTAACCAGGTGTATGGAAAATCAAGGCAATTATAAAGAAAATTAAAGCAAACAGCTTTAATAAGGAAAGAAAATTCCATTAGCCTGATTACCGACATATATCACATTAAGCAACATACATGTGGTGTGAAAGCAATGACTTCCAATTAACTTATGCACATATTTTATTGATAATTTTTCTTTTCACATTGAATGTAAATGAACAATAGCTTAACATTTTAGCTTACATATCTCTGTATGAAGAACCTTTTGCATGAAAAATCTATTTAATAATTACCTTCTAAATGTATGTTATACTTTCCAATATTTACTTATCAATTTTTTAAGCTGAGTATGACTATGTCCATTTGCCTGCCTTATTATTTGTTGGAAGGGCCCAAATTCACTCGGACTTTGCCTTTGTCCCTGTAGATACGGCTAATTCTGCTCCACCCTAGAAACTTAATGAATAGGGTAAATATGGATGGAGTTATGGGTCCTCATAGTAGCTTTTCATAAGTACCGTCTCACCTACATTCCCTGACAGCCTTGGATATTCAGGGCTTTTTTGTGGACATATTTCAGAAGCTAAACTTTTTACCTCAATGTTGCAGAGACACTCTTCTAACTTCATGACAACTTCAGAAAACTCGGGTCTTCCCTGTAAATAGAAAAAAAGAAATTTTTCTTTTCCCTGAAGAATAAAAGGAAGGAGACTCTCTTTGGATTTTAAAATTGGGTATTAGCATTTGCAAAGAATGAGATTAACAATAAAGTGTATTTTTTATTTAAAATACACTTTTATTGAAGTGTTAATTGAATGTTCATTTGCTGTTCATGGAGGAATGTTGAGTCTCCCTCTGATAAGAGTTTTAAGTCAGAATTTGCAACTACATTCAGATAATGAAATAGTGGAAAAGCTTTAATTAGCTTTGCATGTTTTTAAATGGCAGGTTTCCTCTTCAAAATGAAAGAATAATAGCGAATACTAAAAACTATTAACTATGTCACTGCCTAGTAATATACCGCACACTATGTATAAAAAGAACTGCTAAAGCTAGATTTATAATGAACTTCACTTCTGAAAAGATCATCTCAGATTCAAAACTAAGATGATGATAGAAACCTCAGAACTATGCCTTACTTTAGGGTTTAAGATAAGCTTTTTTAAACTTCTTAGACAGTGTCATTAAAGTTATTGCCCATTATAAACCTTTGTGTCAGATGAGTTTGGTTAAAAAAATGTTGCATTCCCAATATATTTCAAACTTTGTTCCAGTTGCAAGGGATATAAAAATGATTATTGGAGAAATTCTTGGAAGTTTAGAAAATGTTGGCCTCTTTGGAGGAAATTATTTTCCTTCTTTTGTCGGATCCTAAAACCATACATTCTATCATTTCTCTCTATGAAACTTTCACTACCAGGAGGTGGAGAGCCCAATTTAACATTCAGGTGCAGTAATCAACTAACTTAGATTCTAAGTAGAACAACTTTTTCCTTACTATCTAGCACGTCCCTGAGAACATTGCTTCTCTTATAAGCTGTTTCCTCTCACAATCTCCTTGTATCTCTAGGTTGGTGGGGGCACTGGGAATAGTGACAGCAGTGGGGTGAGCAAAACCCTGTGTCTTCCTTGCTGTCACTGCTACTTCCAAATGGTTTCTTCCTCTGAACACCATCAGCCCATCAGGCTATACCACCAGAGTCTAGGTATAGACTTCCTTTGCTTACTCTTCTCTAATGAGCTTTTCCTCCAAACCCAGTTAGTCACTCAGCCTTTTAGTTATACCCTAGACCCTGTCACGACCAATGTCTGCAACCCCTCCATACTCTCCAACCTCTCAATCTTTATTAGACAACTCTCTGAGCTCTGTCTCCTTTCTCTCTTGCTCACTTCTTCTAGAAACCCAACTCCAACAATCTTTGATCACACTGGTTCTTAGAAGCCATTTTACCACTTAAAAAAACAAACAAAATAAGAGCTTTTTATTATGAGCATTTGAAAATATGTCCTAAAGTAGATACTCTTCTATCTGCCTATCTACCCACCTACCTATCTTTTCCCCAATTTATTTCATCCTTTTTTCACTGTCACTTTACCTTTACCTACCTTATATTTCATTTCCATGTATCACTTAGGTTCACTTCCAACTATCACTCCCTTTCACACATCCTCAGCTTCCTTGCCTCATCTTGCATTTTGTACACTACTGAAAAAATCCTAGAATTTGTTGAGTCCATTCTGCCTGGTCTCACTTCAAAATCATGGCCCTCTAACCTCCCGTAGATCATCAGTACTGCGCAGAGAGACGATTACGTATTTCCAGCCCATTCACTCTTTCACACTTCAGATGGCTATTTTGTACCTTCTCCCGTCTCCTTAAACCTTTAGTTCCCACTGCTACATTAAACTACTCACTTATGACCTACATAATTTGCCCTGACTTTTGTTTCTTTGGATGATCTTTGCCTAATTCTGAGGCCAGCTCCTTTACTTGTGTGCTCCAGTAATAATTCTCTCACCCATTGTTTGCATTGTTCATGTTCCATCTTTATTGTTTAATCTCCACCACTATACAGACATACTATACATTCTCCTATCTTAAAAGCAAACAGCAAAATAAAGCTCTTAACATCTCTTCTTCAAGCTTCTTCAAGCTACTGCTCCATTGTTGTTTACCTTTACAGCAAAACTGTTCTAGAGTTATCTAAATTTGCTGTCTCTAATTCCCCTCCTCCCATTTGCAATCCATCCTAATCAAGCTTTCTCTTACCATCAACACTGCTGAAACTGCCCTTGTCAAGTTACAAAGATCTTCTCATTGCTAAATTCAATGATTACATCTCAGGGGTCATCTCACCTGGCATAGCATTAAATACAAGCAACAATTCCTTTGTCCCTGAAACATGTTTTTCAATTGGTTTTGAGGACATCATTTTCTTTTTTCTCTTTTTCTTTCTTTCTTTCTTTCTTTCTTTCTTTCTTTCTTTCTTTCTTTCTTTCTTCCTTCCTTCCTTCCTTCCTTCCTTCCTTTCTTTCTTCTTTCTTTCTTCCTTCCTTTCTTTCTTCTTTCTTTCTTTTTTTTTCTGCTCTCATTGGCTTCTTCTTAGCCTCCTCTTTTGGTTTCATCTCTCCTCCTTATCTTCAAGTTTTTAATTGCCCCCAGACTCAGTCTTTGGTTCTCTTTACCCTTTAGAGTTAATCTGTTGAGGAGTTAATTCAGCTTCATGCCTTTACAAAACAATTCCCAGATTTCTATCTCTAGCCCAGAACTTTTTCCTGAACCCTAAACTCATACATGCAATTAATTATATTTATAGCCTTTCCCATTTCAGTAAATGAAAACTCCATCCTTCTGCTTGCAGAGGCAAAAGAAAAGAAGAAAATAAGTTGATCTTTGACTTCTCTTTATCATACTTGCCTTTAAAGTATCAGCAAATTATATTGATCCGACCATTCAGTATTTGAATGATCAAGTAGCTTATATTAGATCAACCCACCTACAGAAAACAACTAAAACTCTGGACAAAATGTAAATGACAGCTACCTGAAGGCAGTGGAAAGTTAATAAAAGCAAGTAGATCTTGGAAGGGAGTGAGTCACTTAAAAGAAAGGAACTAATATATTTCCCACCTCGCTTGCTCTCTCTGTATATCATTTATATACTGAGGGTAGACCACTTCTGTATTCTAGGAAACAATTAACATTCTGATGGTTTGCTTGTTTGAAGGACCAGAGGACAACATTCAGGGCAACTGGAGTGTATCAGTTATTGTTTTATAACCAGTTACCAAAAACCTAGCGATTTAAAACAATGTCCATTCATTATCTATTTCCATGGGTCAGCAGTCCAGTATAGATTGGCTGGGTTCTTTGCTCAGAGTTTCACCAGACTGAAATCAAGGAATCAGTGGGCACTGTGATTCTCATCGCATCAAAGAGGCTCAGGGCCCCTTGTAAGGTCATTGGTTCTTGGCAGAACTCATTTCTTTGTGGCTGTATGACACGTCTGGTTTTCTTGCCAATTGTTGCCCAGAAATGACTCTCAAAATCTAGAGGATGCCTACAGCTGCTTGCCACATAGGGAGTTCACAACATGGCTGTTTGCTTTTTTTTCTGATGGGCAAGGGGACATGCCTCTGACTTCTTACTCTGTGACCAGTTGTAAATCTTATTCTGCTTTTAAAGGGTTCACCCAATTAGGCAAGGCCCACTTGAGATAATCTTCATTTTGCCATATGATGAAACATAATCATGGGAGTAATACCTCATCATATTCACAGGTTCTGTCCACACTGAAGGGGAGGGTTTCCACATGGCATGTACAGGGAACAGGAATATTGCAGGCCATCTCAGAATCCTTCTTATCACAAATGGGCAGGGGAAAATGAGAAGAGATCCTGGAAAAAGTGCTGGAATCTGAGTGTAAATTCTGCCTAAATCTCTAGTTGGCCCCTAACCACACATGCATGAGGCCAACTAGCCAACCAGTTAGAGCTAAAATAAATGAACTGAGATTAGATCTGCTGCCCCATGCAGGGCATTCTTCTTACTATTTTTTCAGACTGAAATTATCTAATGCTTATTTTATGTCCATGGATATTCACTGCACTCTGCAAGGCACAACTCACAAGCTACATCCTTCTTAAAACATCCAAGTTATTCCACAAAATAAATATTCACTTGAATTTAGATTTACTTCCTTTCTCCTTGTGTTATAGACAGGTATTTACATGTCTATCACTAGCTGGAAAGTGCTTTGATGATAAGCAATGGTTTATTTAAACTTATACACCAAGCGAGTTCCGTCAGACAAGTTAAATGAGCTCAAATTTATTAAATTAAATTGCATTGTTATAATAAAAATATCATCTGGAATATGCTTACCTCTCATCCTTGTCTATGCCTTATCATCTCTTGCTTATATCACTAAAATTGCCTCCTATTTTTTCTACTTCTGTTCTTTGCCTATCTGAAAGTACGTCCCCAATCCAGTAGTTAGTAATCATCATTTAAAAATATACATTGGACCAAGAAATGCCACTCATTATAGCCTCCAATTGCGTCTCATGTTATTTGGGTAAAAACTCCATCTCTAAGGTATACAACAATCTGCTCCTCTGATCCTGTGCCTCCTTCTCTTCTCCTTCGTCTTGTGCACTCCACTCTGGCCACACCAGCCACCTCATGCCCTTGAGAACTTTGCACTGGGTTCTCTCCACCATGACACACTAACACCTTCACCTCTTCCAGCTTATTGTTCAAATGTTGTTTTATCAGAGACATTTTCCTTGTTTGTCATATTTAGAGCTCTCAGGCCAATGTAATCTTCTTCTTTTCTTGTTTTATTTATTCTATAGCACTTAACACTACATGAATTAATACATATTTTATGTTATTTGTTTATTATTTATATTTTTTTATAGAAAGTGCACTTCACAAGGGCAGGGGCTTGTCAACCACTGCTCCATCCCTAGTACTGTGAGCAGTGCCTAGCCTATAAAAGGTGAGCTACAAGTGCTTGCTGTACCAATAATATAATTAATCATTTTATGTTTTTTTTAACATTTTATTTTCTTCTCAAACTATCTTATTATAGGTAGAGGGTTTTATTATAATCTGCTCCTTGTTTTTTTTTTTTTAAATCAACCAGGGAAGACATTACAAGTGAATTGTCTTTCTTGAACATAAAATTCAAATGATGTTATATATTTCATTGGGAAGTTGGAAAAACATAATAACAGCAAAATTTAACATTTACTAAACACTGCGAGTACGCATTTAACTCTTATAATACTCTGCATTGTAGAGATTTATTATTATTTTGATTTTACACATGAAAAAGCAGAAAATAACAAATAAAATATTTTTTCTAAGATAATATAGTAAAAATAGAGCAGAATTCAAAACTAAGTAGAGCTTTTGATCTTAATCATGACTTCATATTCACTCCCTAGGTGTGGCATTTAAATCTGTAAAGAGTAAGAATTGAGTTGTAATCATGTAAGATTCGGTGCCTGAGATTAAGTTTTCATACTAGAAGAAACACTGGATTGAAAGCTAAAAGACTTGGTAAAATACCTACCAGCTATGTGACTTAGGATGGTTTATTAATGATTCTGAGCCTGTTTCTTTAGTCACCGATTGGGCTGCAGAATTAAGAAAACTAAATAAGATAATGTTGTAAAAGCACTAGGAACTATACAGTGTTTTGCAAAGTAACTTAATTTTTCAAAATACTAAGAAATATGACCTGTTTGTGAGCTCTCTGAATTTATAGCCAATGCTTTAACATTTAGGTTTAAATTCTATGCAAATTAAGGAATGTAGTTATTTATCTGGTACCTTATGAGAACACTAAGGTGCTCATTGAACAGCAGAAATTACCATAATGCCTCATAAGCTTTACATACTGAAATAATGGACAGTAAATGCCAACATTATGATATGCATTGCCTTCTACTTTCCTTTCAGGTGGATGGCTGGTACTCTTTGCCATCACGTTGCGGTTGGTGGCAGCTTGCCCTGAGTCGTGTGTGGTGTGCACCAGAGATGTAACTCTCTGTCACCAGCTAACCTATATCCTAGGTAATAAAACTAATAACTCTAAAAAGTAGTGGTCAGTGAACCTGGAAAATCGGTTGCCATACCTTTCACTGTACTGACTGTTCTCTGTGCTCAGCTGAAAAGAGGTAACCCTTTAATGAATACACTTCATACAATGACTAAAGAGACTGGTAATATTTTATTTTCCTGTTCCTGATGGTCTCAACCAAAACTATTTAAAGACCTTCATAGGTAATAGAGATAGTTTGCTGTTGCAAAGGAATATTACCATTTTCTCTAGCTGCACACTTAACAAATATATCACTTTAATTATATTTTTGTACATACTTTGTGTAGACTTGAACCCTGCCACCAGCTAGCAGAAATATAAATGAATCAGAAACCTGAACTGCAGTTGTTCAGCGTTAGTAAGATTAAGTGACGTACCAGTGAAACAGATTATTATCAAAGTGCGTCTCATTTTGAAAGTCTAGTCTTTTTTTATTGGTGGTAAATGAGCTGTAGAAATGCTAACAAGATACACTGCCTGTATTCATTACATATTGCTTGCTTAAGTCAACAATTTAATAAGACACCTTATTAACAAATTTGAGGAGAATGTGATTTACATCCTGATATCCAAGAAGAGATAAACAAGCTATAAGCTCTGCCAATGGAAAATTTCCATAAACAGCCTGAGTTAAGACACAGTGGAAGAGAATAATTTCTTCCATTTCTAAAATCCCACGACTCCGGTAATTAGGAGGCAGACGTTGTCACCACCCTTGACAGGACAGAGAAGGTTTCAAGGATAGTTGATGTGCATATTGTTTCTAATCAGTATTGAAAATGCTTTAACACTAAACTCTCACCATCTAAAATGGATTTGTTGACTTCACTACATTTATTTTTTCTGATCAGAGATGGTCGATGTCTGTAAGAAACAAGTATTTCTCATCTACATTGTTGTACCTCAATATCCTGCTTCTCATTTACAGAACACATTTGTGAAGTTAGATTTCATAAACACAGAAAATAAAATGGATGACTTGTGAGTGGGGTTTCTCTCTAGATCTAGACAAGAAATAATTGACAGAAATGATAGCCTGTGTATTCAGAGTCAGCAAATCCCTAAAGGACTGGGGACCCAGGAAAACAAAACTTCATCCCATATCAAAAACAATAATGAGAGGAACAAAATACCAAACTGGCCAGAATTAATAGAATTCAAATAATCAATAATAAATGCTGAAAAAACTACCAAGATTTAAGCTTGCTTGTGCTGCAGGGATGAGAACAATTCTTCCATAAGAAGGCACTCTGAGAATCTTTTGTCTTTTATCTATTTTTTAATCTCTTTGTTTCTGCACTGCAGTCTGAATTTCCTAAGGGATTTGTGATTTGCTTCCCTATGGCTGACTGTTCTAATATCACCTGTAGACCTCCCAGTGACAATGGACTCCTCCATCCTTATGACACTGTCATTTGCAGTCAAAACAATTTTAGCATGATAAAGATGTGTTACAATAACTCCTGATTATAATACATCTTTATTGAGTTAAAATGCTTTGATTTCTAATGACAGAGCAGTGATAGCTCTGAGGTGATTATGGTGAAGGGATTTAACAGTCGGAGGCCCTGAGTACCACCTGTCATCACATGATGGACTTCATTGGAGGGAACAGATATTAGACAGGAGGCCAAGATGGCCCAGACTATAATGAGAACCCCACTGACAGATCCTTGGGTTGTCTGCAGTGAATATATATCCTTACCAAGTTGTCAACTTTCAGCCTGGGGCTAAAAAGCAGAAACCAATGCTCTTTCTCACTCTCCCCACCCCAACATGCACCTTTATGTTTGGAGAAAAGATGATTGACTTCACAGCATAAATAAATATACATTGCTATGAAACACTGGCTAGGGGGCTCAGACACAGGCTCAGCTGTTAGTTGACTCTGTACTGGGTCTGCAGGGCTAGAGCTGGTCAGTACACAGCCTCAGAGGGAGGGCCTGAAAAGACACCTTCAACATAACATCGATGAAGATAATCCGAAACAATGAATTAACTTTGACATCTGAAGTAACAGATGGGTTTATGTTTCTCAAACCAACATGTCACAGTAGCAAAGAATATAAAAATCCATCATTTTGATATATAGCCAGTTTCCCCTTAAATGTAGAAATCAGAAAATTATTTTCATGTTGTGTATTGTTTATTGTTCTTACCCAGGTGATAAGATTGCTCAGAGGGTATTGATTCTCTCTGCTCTCCACCACACCCCCGCCCACTCACGTATATCCTGCATCTAGTCTGTGCTTTTCTTCCCCACAGCAGCCCCTATGACCACGAGGGTTTTAATCATCACTGATGGATATCTCTCCTCTATTGAGAGCACAAACCTGTCTCTCTTGTTTAATCTTGCCCTGCTCTCCCTGAGCAGAAATGGTATCCAGGATGTTCAGGAAGATGCCCTGGATGGCCTTACGATGTTGCGGACCTTGTTGCTGGAGCACAACCAAATATCCAGTTCTTCGCTCACGGATCACACCTTCAGCAAGCTTCACAGCCTGCAGGTGCTGGTGCTGAGCAATAATGCTCTCCGCACCCTACAAGGGTCTTGGTTCCGAAACACGCGGGGCCTGACCCGGCTCCAGCTGGATGGGAATCAGATCACTAACCTCACAGACACTTCTTTTGGAGGCACAAATCTCCACAGTCTCAGGCATCTGGATTTATCCAACAATTTTATTTCCTACATTGGGAGAGATGCCTTCCGGCCCCTGCCTCAACTACAGGAAGTGGACCTTTCTCGAAATAGGTTAGCCCACATGCCGGATGTTTTTACTCCACTGAAGCAGCTAATCCTTCTGAGCTTAGATAAGAACCAGTGGAGCTGCACTTGTGATCTCCATCCCCTTGCTCGGTTTTTAAGAAACTACATTAAGTCTTCTGCTCACACGCTCAGGAATGCCAAGGACCTAAATTGTCAGCCATCTACCACAGCTGTGGCAGTTGCAAAGAGTGTGCTGAGGCTGTCTGAGACCAACTGTGATTCCAAAGCTCCCAACTTCACTCTGGTTCTAAAGGACAGAAGTCCCCTCCTCCCAGGGCAGGATGTGGCCCTGCTGACTCTCCTTGGCTTTGCAGGTATGCCAGGGAGAAGTGTGTCCTCCTCTTCTCTCTTCTCTTGTCCATATTTTTGCAGCATGCTAAGTGATACTTATTTCAGACACTCGTGGAAATTCGCCAGGGCTATGGAAAGGAGAGGTTGCCAGTAGATGTGGGAGGATATTAGCTGATTTGGCACGGTTTGTAAGAATTTCCTGTTTCAGGGAAGCTGTCTAACATACAGGAAAGAGCCCTGGACCAGAATTCAAGAGCCCTGGTCCTGGTATAACTAGCACTGTGATCTTTAACATGTTCAACTTGCTATTTAGAGTTTAGTTTCCTTGAGTGTAATACAGGAGTGATAATATCCATATTTCGTCAATCATCCATTCACCCAAGAATACTGGTGCGTTTGTTATGAAACTAGGAGATATTTAAAAACTATGGGACATAGACTCTTTCCTCAAGGCACTTACATTTGTGTGCTTCTCCATGGTATATAGTAAGAGTCATAGGCTTTCACAGATGCACAAAGAGATGCTATTATGGAAATCACATATATCTTAGTCTGCAGTGTTTATATGGCACAGTAGTTATGTAAATGAGTTCTGTAGTTGCATTGCCCAGGTTTGAATCCTGGCTCTGCTCTTATTAGCTGTGTGACTTTGGATACATTATCTAACTTCTCTGTTCCTTGGTCTTGGTCCTCCTCCTGTTGGGGGGTTTGAATTCTTCGAAGATTTCTGTTCGTCCAACTCTATATAAACTTGGCCCATATTTCCCAGACCAACCAAGGGGAGGATCATATACAATTCTTTATATATTTTTTGTAATTTAAAATTTATTAAACTATGCATCGGCTATCATTACATCTCACTGGATGAATAATATAAAATGACACTTAATGTCATTAGTTGAAGACCAAAGATATATGAGATTTTTAAGTTATCTAGCTCGATGTGTGTGTTTTCTTCTATGCTCTCAGTGTATGGTGAAATCCTCTGCACCTGTGGTAACCATGGTGATGAGGGGAGAAGAGGAGAGAGAGAGAGAGATCAGAGACTGACAAATGGCATCCAAGACTGATGTATTTTGAGTATGTGCTATAAATCATTATTCCATAACAATTATCTAGTGAATTAATTGATTTGTATTTTTACTTAACTTTTAATTAGGATAGATGGAGACCAGCATCAGGTGTAGATGATGGAACTACCACCAGCAGTAATCAAGCTCACTTGGAAGGAAATTCAAATCTTAGGAAAATAAATTGTTTTATAAACCATGTAACTATGTCAGGAATTGTATGTGCTAAGAAGTAATTTACAATAGAAGACATAAGTGGGCAGCAGACGGGTTTTCCTTAAATGTGCTTCTTAGAATACTAGTACTAGTGAATAATTAATAGATATTCTAATAAAAACAGATGCACACATAGGCAATAGATGGTGAGGTTCAAATAGGTTTAGGAAGTACAAGGTTTAGCAAAGTGAAACAGGTGTACTCACTGCAACACTTCTTATAATCTTTCATTTTCTAATGAGCATTATAAATTTCTAAGAGGAATATGTGATATGGAGCATTTCTTGAAGTTATTTGGCCCTGATCCATTTTATAGAGAATTTCACTGAATTTGTGTTCTAGAGGACATCATTTTGGAAATATAATAGAGCAATTTTTAGTATCTTTAGTTATCTTTTACATATGTTTTCAAAAATATGTATTCAGAAATATATTTAGCTACATTAACAGCTCTTTATTAGTGTTGAGATGAATAAAAATTCTAGAAGATTCCAAAGGTTTTGTCAACGTGAAAGGGAGCTTAATATACATGAATAAATTTTGATAAATTATAAATATGATTACATATATGTTAGGTTTTGGTGTGTAAAATTATCATGCTAATATATCTTTCATCAAATAATTGTTAAATTATAGGGCTTTGAGTCTGTAAAAAGCCTCTGATTTTTTATGTTAATTTGCTCCATTAAGATTCTACTCTTTCTGAAGTACAAATGTGGTGAATTATCCATACTTCTAGATTGTGGAAAAAACACTTAGAACTATAATTTTGCCTATGATTCCATTTTCTTCTTCAGCTATAGCTAAGTCATAAAAATTCAAAGGAATATAAATAGCTATATTCAGTAAATTTAAAACTAATAAGTGGTTATTTGGCATCAAACACTAATATCTTGACACTTAATGCTATGAACTGGTAGATAAAAAGTTTTTATGAAGCTGTAACGTATTTCTAATGTTTCAATGAGAACTTATCATTAATTTTCCCTTTTTCTCTTGCCAACTCTCAAAGATTGTTAGAACAGTTTTTAAAAATAGAAACAATGCCCATGGCAAAGAAAATTCAAACAATCCTCTTAACAGCACGTCTGCCTGCCTACAAGCTTCGTTTGCTGCTTTTGCTTTCTGCGCTAATGGCAAGTGACCATACCAGAGTGGTAATGGGATACAGATATACCTAGCATCAGCAGCAGGGGAGTGAGTGGGTCCCTGCCATTCAGACACAATTGAGGGGAAACTGTATCTTATAATCAGATTATGTTTACTCTCATTTCAATGGCTGATTCACTTAGCTTAAAGAAAACTTAGCTTTTTCCTTCCTATATTGTTTGGCTTACTAACTGCACCAGTCGTATAAAATATCCTCCTAATGACTTTTTAAAGTTTTTTTTTCTAATAGCTGAGTCTTCCAGGAACCAATAGAACAATGTAAAACCTAAACAATGGTAGCTCAGTAATCATAATCATAATCACAAATTGCAGTGAACACTCATGAACTTTACTGTATAAAAACACTGTATTAACCATGTTACATATATTATTTAATCAGTTATCCTTATTTGAGAAAGGAGGTAAAATAAGTGTTAGAGAAATTGGAAAATATCCAAGAAAATTGTCAGAACATAGCTTTCTATTTTGAGTTTTCTTACCCATATGAGTTAAGGAGTAGCTCTAATTTTTAATTTTTTAATATGTACTTTAACATTTTAAAACCAAAATCCTTGTTTGGGATAATCTAAACTCTAGAATCTATCAATGAAGGGATTATTATTTACATAATTTTGCTACAACTTTTAAAAAGTGCCTTTAATAGAGATGATTTCAGTATGTTATAGCACTTTCCAAGAGCATATTGTTGGTAAATGAGTTAAAATGGATTTAAGAGCTCAAGATATGGTAAACTATACAATGATTTGAGGATTTTACCAGAAACTGCTATTCTCTTTGTTTGCTCTTCATCTTTAACAACAACAAAAAAAACCAATCATGACCTGATAACTTCCCTTTTCATATAAGTTTTCATTAATATTGTCTCCAGTGGGTAGAACTAAGCATGGAGACACTGAGATCATGTCATTCACTGCCCTTATTTCCAGAGAAGGGCACTGTCCTAAGGCAGATGTGGGCTTAGGACACATATCTCTTTATTCAATCTGTACTGACACCATGTCTTCCTAATCACATCTTGAGAATGTATAAAATTAGATCACCAGAGATTTTATTATTAGAATTCATAAAAAGAATCCCTTCTGTTGATTTAAGAATATTTAGTAAACATTTCTGGAGTGCCTCCTTTGTTTCAGAGTTGTGGATACTAGAGATAGAATGTTGAACAGGACTGAAAGAATCTGTAGCCTCACAGTGCTTAATTCTAGCAGAGGAGGGCTGTCTGTGAAGAAGCAAATGAACAAATAAATACAATAATACTCTTGATTAGTGTGAAGAAACAAGGAAAATCACTGTGATACACAGAAAATGAGGGTATGACTCAGGGACACTGGTTTGAACACTTAGGTGGTTGAGGAGGCCATCTGTCAAGATAGGAAAAAGTGAAACAGAAACAGGTTAGAGTCGGCATCTGGCTTTGAGAAACACTGGTCCTTGCAATTTTATTCAGAGGAGAAACTGCATAGAACATGAAATGACAGTACCAGGCAGTCTGATATTAGATGTCATTCATTCTATTATAAGTGTTCATAAAAGGAAGTGCCATAGACAGAAAAACTAATGTTACTGCAGGAACCATTTTATCTTAAATGAATTTCAGCTCATGAAACAGTCCTTTTTTCTACCAAAGAGATTCCAGATGGTGTTGTTTCTTATAATCTTTAATATGTATAAAGATCCAAATTGGAAAGCAGAACAATGTCCATGATAACCTCTCTCTGGACTGATATTTTTCCAAATGGTGAAGGACTTCCTACCCACTTTGATATCTTTCAAGTCATTAACCTTTGTATTTGTGGTTTTTACATTTGATGATTTATATGTTTCTTCCCCAGATGTTATCTTTTAATGGTCTCTCTATTTGTCACAGGAGCTGTTGGTCTTACTTGCCTAGGTTTAGTTGTATTTAACTGGAAACTCCAACAAGGCAAAGCAAATGAACACACATCAGAAAACCTTTGTTGCGGAACCTTCAGTGAACCCATGTGTGCTCATGAGGCAAGAAATTACCATACTAAGGGATACTGTAACTGCCACTTAACTCAGGAAAACGAGATAAAGGTCATGTCCATTGTGGGGTCCAGAAAGGAAATGCCACTTTTACAGATAAATAGCCATCAAGCAACATTGGTCTCTGAGTCCACAACCCTTGATGGATCATTTGGAAACCTGAAAAAGAAAGACCATGGGGTAGACAGCACTTTGTTTTGCCAGGATGGTAGATTGCTGCATTCAGGATGCTCAGAGCCTCCTGAAAATATGACAGCTTTTAATGAAGCAGGCTTACTTACAACATACTATCCAAAGAAAGTTGAAAAGCTAAGGAATCTTGAGCCTGGAGAAGTCCAGCCTCAAACTCTGCGACAGCATGTAGTAAGAACAGAAGGTGAGTTTGTCTTGTTTTAGAAAATCTCACTCTTTTTAATTCTTATTGAAGGAGGGAGCCTCCCTCCTTTAATTTCAACAGGAAATGCTATAAAAATCACTGTAGCACTAGTCTATTCCTTTTCTAAAAATACTGTGTGTGTGTGTGTGTGTGTGTGTGTGTGTGTGTTTAGAGTGACGTTGAGATAAAGTATTCTTTCTTTTAGGAGCTGAGAGTGCATCTCTTGGCTGCTAAAAGTACATTTTGAGGCCCAACACCTAACGGTGTTTAAAAAAGTAGTCTTTTAAATAGCCATAGTGCTGTTAAGATCTATGGGATGGCTAGTATCAGCTTTTATTCCAACATCCTTTGAGCTCTAATGCCAATTCTGCAGTAAGCAACCTCCCCAGAGCATGACATGTTAGAAGAATGGGCCTTCTAATGCTAGTGATTCATTTTAGGAATGATGTCAAGAAACACTTTGCTTGCTGAGCTGTCAGGGATGATAACTTCCCAGTCCAGGGAAAGTCAGGACTTAATTCATCGTCCCATGTTGGGAGCCAAGTGAATCTGGCCGTGACATCTACCCACTGTACATGGGCGATGTCAATATTTAGGTGGAGGCAATGAATTAAATGTCTTCCTTTTTCTTCCTGAATAGCAAGGCTATGCTTTCAGGCTCAGCAGTGAAAACGTTGACAGCTGCTCTGTAAAGAGGTTCCTGTCATTTATTTGAATTGGTTTACAACAAGCAGAGCCTTCTCTAAGAATATGAATGACAGAGGTGCTGTATCAAGAAATTCTTACCACAGGGGTCTAGCCCTAAGGATGGAATTAGGGGCAACTGGATAAGAATAAAACCATATGTTATTTCACGTATGTTATAAGGTAGGATGTGAGTTTATTTCATTGCATTCCCACACTCCAGTTCTTACCAGTGTCTGGATAATTTCACTCAAAACAGGGATGGCTGAGGAAAGAAACATACACCATAGAAACCACATCATACTGGCTTTATTTTGGAATGAAATAAGCACTTAACCTTTCATTAGACTCACACCTTAGGCAGATGTTTCATTTCATCTTTTAACTTTGTCCAATGCCTGCACTTCTCTGTGGAAAACTCTGGTAACTGAAGGGGATGCAGTCTCTTAACCCAGTCTGTTCTTTCATACTGAGAACAATGTTTTGTCAAATTGACATGAATATTTTTAAGAAATACCTGAATTTCTGCTACATGCCAGGCATTGTACCAGAACTAGAGAGGGCAGGTATTTGAGGAGAAAACAGCCAAGGCCATATCTGCTCCAGAACAAAAATTGGTAAAGAAAAGAATGCCACTCCAATTATGCCTTCTGACTTGGAAACAGAATTACAGGCCTTCCAGGATAGAGGGGACTTTAGCTCTAAACTAATAGTTCTTAATGTTTGTCTTTGAGTCACAGAACTCCCTGAGACTCTGACAAGGCTACAGATTCTTTCCCCAGAATAATTTGTATACTCACATAAAGCTCCCATCGAGTCCAACATCCTAATACACAGAGAGCAAGTAGCTTCTCCAAGGTCACCCAAAATGTTGATAGCCGATTTTAGACTCGAATTAGATGCTAGTCTGTGACTTAGATCATCTCTTGGGGCAAAGTGGAGATGAAGTGTCTCTACCCTTAGGACTGACAGTACATCTTCTGTCTACTAAAAGTGAATTTTGAAGCCTAACACCAAACAAGTTAAAAATGAAAAAAGGGGGAGCCTTTTTAAATAGCAGTAGTGCTGTTAAGATTTATTGGATGTTTTGTGGTTAAAATTTCCTTTTTTCTCACAGAATAGAAAACTTTTCTTTTTCTGAATGAAAACATTTCATGAAATAATAGCAAGTATACTAGTAAATAATTTTACATTTTAGATGAATTGTGGTTAAGACAATAGGGTCGTTTAATGTCAGGTAAACTTGGGTTTAATTCCTTGTTTGAACACTTAGCTGATATGTGACTAGGGGAAAGAATTTAACTTATTTGAAGCTTATTCCTCCATCTGTACAAGTTATAAAACAGTAAGATCTGTCCAATGGATCATGTCTCTTGTGAATATTAAAAGAGATGATAAATGTACAATATGAGCACAATGCCTAGCTCTTAGCATGTGCTCAATTAATGGTATTACTATTATTTTTGTCAATAATATTATTTATGCTTATAGGGCCATAGAGACGTCTATCCCTGAATAGTGAAAGGAAGCTTCCTTTCTAAACGGTTCATCATGTACTGTTTTCTTTTCTTTTTCTTTTTAAATTTTCTTTCTTTCTTTCTTTTTTCTTTTTTTGAGATGGAGTTTCATTCTTGCTGCCCAGGCTAGGGTGCAATGGCGTGATCCCGGCTCACCACAACCTCCGCCTCCTGGGTTGAAGCAATTCCCTTGCCTCAGCCTCCTGAGTAGCTGGGATTACAGGCAGGCACCACCACACCTGGCTAAGTTTTTATTTTTAGTAGAGACGGGATTCTCCATGTTGGTCAGGCTGGTCTTGTACTCCCAACCTCAGGTGATCCTCCCACCTCAGCCTCCCAAAGTGCGGGAATTACAGGCGTGAGCCACTGTGCCTGGACATGTACTGTTTTCTTTTAGTGAAAGAAAGATTGTAACACTAAGAGGCATTTGCAGGCAGACATTTAAAAGAAGCTAGCAGAAGAAGTTATAAGATTAATAAGATTAAATATTGTATTAATATGTATCATTTAAAAAGTTCTAGGCAAAAATTGCTGCCACACAAATCAGGCCATATTTCAAAATACCTATTCATTTAGCAAATATTTAATGAACAATTTATTAAGTTATGGGAAATAAAACAGATATGGTCTCTGCTTTCATTGAGTCAATAGTATTTCAAGTACTTCCCTTTCCTTGTCCAGGTTATTCTCTGAAACCTGAACATTACTCAATATTGCACCCATGTTCTGCCCAATATTTAAGTTGCTAATAGGAAATTAATTCAGGAAAAAATTACTAGAGCCATTTAAAAAGGAGTTAGATGTTATTCATATTTAAAGCTAACATAACCAACAACTAAAGATATATGACTATAAGTAGTATTTACATTTCTAACTCCACAATTTTTAAGTCATCATCAGAACTGACTCCAGTGTGACCATAAAGAATTTCATTGCAAAACATACAAAACAGACAAATGTCCTTTGTAGATTTGGTTAAAAATTAGGAAACATTCAAGAGTTAGAATTATCAGAAGAGTCAGTTTTATACTTTTCATAAGATTTCTAAGCATCTGTTTGGTTGGGGTAATAAAACTCTGCTAAGTGCTAAATTCTTGCATTTATTGTTCCACAGATAAGAGCAGTGACATATTTAGAAGAAGATATGCAACACCCGCTTCAGCCTTGGCAGGAGAAAGTCTTGAGAAGCATTTAACAAATGAATCATGGCAGCCTCCAGTAGAAAAAGAAGACAATGGCTTACAACCTCATAGGCAAAGACATTTTATTACAAGCTCATCATCCAAGCCTTGTGAGCCTGAGGAACACTGTGTACAAAAGACCGTACAAAAACATAGATCAAAATATGATGATCCTTGCAGACTGTTAAAACAGAGCAGACCTAAGTATTTTCAGCCAAACAATTCTCTTATCTGTAAATATGTGCCCTGTAATCAATTTGAAGATTACATGAAAGAAAAGAAGCCAAATTGTAGAAAACACTCAAAGCCTGAGAAAGAGCAAATCCAAATTAACAGTGCAATTGAAAAGTTTATGAGTGAAGACAACATAGATTTATCAGGATTATCAACAAAAATCAAGAAAGCATGTTCTCCAAAGAGGGTTAGCTTCCATGATCCTGATTTAGCAGAAATAAATAGATTGATGATATCATCCAAAACATCAACCCCTTGGAAACAGCAGAAAAATCAAAGTAACCAGCAGACTAAGTTGGATCTCAAAAAATGTAGCAACATTGGGAAGAGAAACAAAGGAGAAAAATGGTTTACTAATTCACGGGTTCTGAAAAGCAAGAGAATCTATCAGTCTGACCTCAACCGGAAAATTAAAGGACAAAACTTAAAGATAAAATTAAATTTACATCCTTTTAGAAAAGTTAGAGTCCATCCAGAAAAATCCTTGTCAGGCCTCCCAAAGCAATGCAAGCAAGTATTATTACCTCCTAAGAAACTATCCAAAACTTCTGAGACAAAAGCCAAAATAAATACTGTGTCTTCTGCAGATTTTCTTCAACAGTCAGAGAGTAGCAACTCTGTTAGACTCACTTCAAAGAGGCTGCCTCTGAAACATGCCTCAAAGCAGACCCCACGTTACCAACGAAACACTAAACATGCCCCCCTGTTCAGTGCTAACAACTTGTCTGTAGTCAACCAGAGCTCTATTGAAGACAACCATCACTCAGCTGGCCAAATTCCTGATGGAAACCCATCAGATGTGCCTCAGCCTCCTCCTATTGATGCTGAGCACAGGCACTCACACTCTCAATTCTCAACTGAGCCAATGGAAGGTGCAACTCAGCTTGAATCTAAAGTGCTTGGTTATTTACCAACTACTTGGAAAAATACAGAAAATGATGTTTTACCATCCAAACATTCCAGGGGGGCTATTGACCAAGGGACAGCAGAGTCCACTGAGTACATGGAACAGAATGTATCAAAGACCAGTGAGCTAAATCAGCTTGCTTTGTCCCCAAGGAATCTAACGCAACTTTTAGATGTTCACGAGACTGACAACTACAAGGAATACACTTTAGACCAAAATGAAGCCTTACAACACAGAGAGCAAAATTCAAGTCATGCACAACTTGAAAATAAAGAAAAAGCTTTAATGACAAAACCTCAAATACCACATAAAATTGTAGAAAATTGTATTATGGATAAGGAAGAAAATGATGTAGGAAGAAAACTTTCAAAAACAGAAACTTATGATTTCTCTCTCATTCCCCAAATACAATCCAAGAACAACCTATCATTTATGAAGACAAATTCAATTCCATTCCAAAATAGAAGAGAGCTTCCCGAGGATATCAGTACTTCTCCTGTTAGTAGTCAAACTGTTTGGCACCTAACCAAGAGTGGCGAAAAAGGAATTGACAGCACAAGTGCATTGCCCAGAGATGACGGCACTGAAGCACTAGAGATAAAAATAGTAGGGAAAGAAGAGAAAAATATGCTCGATGAAAGCAAGACAGATTCTAGTATGTTAATTCAGATCACACAAATGACCTTAAAAGGTGACACAAAGGAAAGGCAGCAAACTTGGGAAAATGGAACAAGTGAAAAACATGTATTATATGATGTGAGCTCTGCTGAGGAGATCATTACAGCTAAAGATTTAAGTGTCACAGGTTCCCATGAAACCATACTTTGCAGTGAAGTAGATCCTGAAATTAACAGTAATATGCATAATTTGCGAGAAGTTCAAAATATTCAACAAGATAAAGATAGTGCACATAAAGAAAGCACAATGACAATGGAGACACATGAAGCGCTTTCCCTCTTCCCAGGGTTAAAAGACAGTTTTGAGGAGGAAAACGAGGTGCTTTTAGTTCCTAGCAGAATAAATGAAGCCAAAAATTCTGCTCCAAAACCTGTACTGTATCCACCATCTGCTGAATATGCTAGTACCTCACCTTTAGAAGTAGAATAAAGTGAACAATATAACCCAAATAATAATCCTTTTCTACTTTAGCTTTCTTCAAGAGGACATAAACACCTGCTAGCCTTTGCATAAATTACAAATGGATCCTTTTCGAGGACAAAGATGTCCTCAGCAACTCTTTGTTATCAACCAAATAAAAGCACAGAGTTGAATATATGACAAAAATCAAAGATGGAGTCATAGGATATGCCTAACACAATTAACTGAGTATGCTTCTCTAAGGAATGGAAAAACAAGTATGCAAAGTTTTGCCTAGTCTTGCAAGAGCAAGCAAACATTAAGAAAAAAGCCTCAGACAAATCAGACTACATAAGAAGAGTATTTGAGCAGATTTACATTTGAAGTTTATTTTATGTAAATTATTATACACATCTCAATTAGTAGTATTATAATATTGCTTTCTACACAAATAATTATATATTCATATTTGTGTTTGATCTGTTTTCCTAATTATAATATGAAAATAAAAGTTCAGCTTTGTTAACTGTAGTCTAACCGATATGCATATTGGTATATTTCATACATTTGCAATTGTCCTGTTGACAGTTATCCTAGATTTAAGTAGAAGTCTTTAAAACCTGTTATTTCTCTAAGAGAAAAAAATTAAGGATTTCCAGTGATAGTTGGCTGTTTCCACAAAAGTCTGCAAAATTCTATAAATCCACTAGGTGGAGATCTCACCTTAAATCATCTTAGAAGAACAGGGCTTGAAGATGAACACAATGGATCCTGAACAAAAGGAATTTTAATGAGTTTTATTGTCAATTGTTATTAGTTTAAGATTTTGAAAACTAAATGACCTATTAGTACATAGCTTTCAAGGTTTGATCTCTTGGGTTTAGCATGCCACTATTGTTTGGAGTGAGAACTCCTCCTTGTTCACTGGAATTAAATGTGAATATAAATATTAAATTTAAAAGCAACAGCAGAATAAACATGTCTCATTCAAAGCCACACTTATTTGAAAAATAGTTATATTCAAATAATTTAATTATTGAGGCCACTGTACAAATATTTAAAGCATACCTTCACTGTTTAGAATATTATAATATTTTACATGTTTTAGTAGGGGTAATAAAAGATAAAAAAGGAAACAAACTTCCTCTTCTCCTATCTCTATATCTGTCTAGGTCTATACATCTTTATATCTACATTTGGTATAATAATATAATAAAAAATACACTTTATAAAGCTTACAAGATTATTAGAACAATATAAATATTGCCTACATATCCCACCCCTTTTGTTTCCCTTCCTGTTTAGAATTGCTAGGAAATGACTTCAGTTTCTTATTTTGAAAGTTCCTAAATTTCTTACCTCTCTTCTTCTTTTCTCACCAATATTCAAGACTTTATTGCTTTTAATCCTAATTTCTCTGTATTTTTGTTCATTATCTCGGCTTGAGCTTAACTCCTCTGCCACATATCTGCCTTGCTTGATCCTACTTTATTTTTAAAGCCCTTTTAAGTTGAGACAAGTACCTATAAGCCAGCTCCTTGCACGATAAGTTTACTCCACCCTAATTGACAGCTTCTTTAACTTTGTAGGACAGGTCACTTGTTTTCTTGGTAGCTATCTTTCCTTTTACTTTTCCTTTCTTTTTCCTTAAACCATCGTCACCTTCCTGCAGTGCCTTTAGCTTTGTTCTCTCTCCTCTCGCTGCCAACAATATCCCAGATACCTAGAGGCCTAATGAGTACTCTTTGTGGCTAGCTGACTCTCAGGAGGTAGCAGTGATAGTTCTCCTGGTCTCTTTTCTCTCTTCCATTTCTGAAATCCAGTCTCTTACCTCTTTATGCTGTTTCCTTTGAAATAGTTCTCAGGTTTACCCTTGCCCTTGAATCTCCATGGTAACCTTTGTAGTCTGCCTGTTGTAATCAACTGGATTACTCAAACAGCAGTCCAGCTGGCTGCTCCAACTTCATTGTCTTTTGCTTGAGTTTCAACCCACTAGTTCTCTGTCTTTATTGGGCACAAACCACCTGGGGCCCTTGTTAAAATGCAGAGTTTCAGGCTCCATCCCAGAGATTTTCATTCAGTAAACTTAGGTTAGGGACCCAGAATCTTCATTTCAACAAACATTCCAGGGTAATCTGGAACATACAGTTTGCAGCCCACATATCAAGAAACAATGCTTAGGTAGTCCAACGAGCATTAGAAGATAATTTAGTGCTTGCCTTACTATGGGAACTACATACAATTTTTTGAGTAAGTAAATAAATCCTTTATATCAAACTCAGATGAACTTTCTAAAAATTACTTTTATCTTTATATGGCTTAAGAGAGAAAAATATAATTGCCATAATTTCATGTCCAAATTCCTTGTTCCAGTTTCCAAAATCTGTCGCCATCTAATATCAGGCTATTTTTCTATCTCTTACTGCTTTCCAGCAACCTTTTTGCATCTCCTCAATATTTTAGTTTATGAATTTTGACTAAGAAGACACCCTGGAGAAAATACTGTGCTTCAAATTCAAGGAATGAAATAAAGACACATATGGAAGAAAAAAGAGAAGCAAAGTTGATAACCTAGAAAGTCATGACCAGCATAGCAGGATGTCAGTGTCCTCCATCTAAAGATGAACTTGTTTCCAATAATGCCTGATACAGAGATTTAACCTCCTCATGGCTACAATGTTCCACCTAGTACTAGGACTTCCCTTGTATCTGTTCTCCCAATGAATTTTCACATGTTCTCTCTGCTTAGACTGCTTTTCTTTCTCACCAAGCTGCCTTCTTTCAGAAAACTCCTGTTTATGATCTCAGTGCAAGTGTTACTCCTTCTGGGAAACCTTCACTAACCTGCATTCTGTCTTTGTCCCCCAACTTGCTGGTAGTATTCTTTTAGTTCATGTTCTCACAAAATCTTGTCTTCCTTAATCTTGGCATGTAACTATAGCATCATGAATTTGTTTATGCATTAAACCAGTCTCCATATAACTACCAGGTCTTAAACTCCATTTAAGTTAAGAGTTCATATTTCTATTGAATCCCGTGTCCCTATCCCTGGGAGGTATACAGTAAGAACTCAATAAATAATTGTTGAAGGAAAAATGACAAATAGTCCATTATTCCCTTTTTTTTTTTTTTGCCATGCAGCTTGCTGACATGGTAAAGACCTTACTGGGCCATTAATGAAGACTCAAGTGTGTCACATACAGAAGCAGCTCAACTTCACAATCCTGAGGTGGTTACCAGAGTCAAGCCAGGGCTCCGCTAACTTGCCTTACCCACATATCGCAAGTCAGTTGAAGACTTTGCTTTCCTAATATGTTTTTTCTCCATCGTCCCCTCTGCATCTCATCAGCAGAACAAAGATTCTGTGTGATAAACTTTACTTCTTAGCACTACAACTTTTCTACTAAGCAATTGATTTCTCTCCTTTCAATATCCCCCGTTTTTTTAAACAGCATTCTTCTTTGGCCATATTCCAATTTTTGTTTCTCATTTCCCAATCTTTCGCTTGAGACATCCATTCTGCCCAAAATATGCTTTTAATACCTGCCAATGACTTACCTTTATCTCGAAATTAGAAATTCCACATGCCTATTAGCTATAATTATTAAGAGGCACATCATCAGAGCAAAAGGAATTCCCTCGATTGTTACTTTATGGTGAACTTTGTCATAGCTCACATCCCACAGAGAGAATGAAATTCTCGAATAGGTGCTTAACATACTTTTGCTCAGAAAATATGCCTGAAGTTCACACTGAAATACAAGAAAAGGTTTTCCTAAACTATTTATGTGATGTAATATTTTTATTGCATTTTAGGTTTTGGGGTACATGTGAAGAACATGTAAGATTGTTGCATAGGTACACACATGGCAGTGTGGTTTGCTGCCTTCCTCCCCATCACCTATATCTGGCATTTCTCCCCATGTTAACCCTCCCCAACTCTCCACCGCTGGCTGTCCCTCCCGTATTTCACCCCCTACAGACCCTAGTGGGTGATGCTCCCCTTCCTGTGTCCATGTGTTCTCACTGTTCAACACCCACCTATGAGTGAGAACATGCTGTGTTTGATTTTCTGTTCTTGTGTCAGTTTGCTGAGAATGATGTCTTCCAGGTTCATCCATGTCACTACAAAGGACACAAACTCACTGTTTTTTATGGCTGCATAGTATTCCATGGTATATACGTGCCACATTTTCCCTGTCCAGTCTATCATCAAGGGGCATTTGAGTTGGTTCCAAGTCTTTGCTATTGTAAACAGTGCCGCAATGAACATTCATGTGCATGTGTCCTTATAACAGAATGATTTATAATCCTTTGGATATATACCCAGTAATGGGATTGCTGGGTCAAATGGAATTTCTATTTCTAGGTCCTTGAGGAATTGCCACACTGCCTTCCACAATGGTTGAACTAATTTACACTCCCACCAACAGTGTAAAAGTGTTCCTATTTCTCCACATCCTCTCCAGCATCCAGGAAAACTTCTTCAACCTAGCAAGTCAGGCCAATATTCAAGTCCAGGAAATACAGGGAACACCACAAAGATATTCTGCAAGAAGAGCAACCCCAAGGCACTTAATTATCATATTCACCAGGGTTGAAATGAAGGAGAAAATGCTAAGGACAGCCAGAGAGAAAGGTTGGGTTACCCACAAAGGGAAGCCCATCAGACTCACAGCAGATCTCTCAGCAGAAACTCTACAAGCCAGAAGAGAGTGGGGGCCAATATTCAACATCCTTAAAGAAAAGAACTTTCAACCCAGAATTTCATATCCAGCCAAATTAAGCTCTATAAGTGAAGGAGAACTAAAATCCTTTACAAACAAGCAATTACTCAGAGATTTCATCACCACCAGGCCTGCTTTACAAGAGCTCCTGAAAGCAGCACTAAACGTAGAAGGGAACAACCAGTACCAGCCACTCCAAAAACATACCAAATGGTAAAGAGCATCAACTCAATGAAGAAACTGTATCAACTAACAGACAAAACAGCCAGCTAGCATCAAAATGGCAGGATCAAATTCACACATAACAATATTAACCCTAAATGTAAATGGGCTAAATGCATCAATCAAAAGACACAGTCTGGCAAATTGGATAAAAAGCCAAAACCCATTGGTGTGCTGTATCCAGGAAACCCATCTCACATGCAAGGATATACAAAGGCTCAAAATAAAGGGATGGAAGAAGATTTACCATGCAAATGGGGGAGGAAAAAAAGCGGGAGTTGCAATCCTAGTCTCTGATAAAATAGACTTTAATCCAACAAAGATCAAAAGAGACAAAGAAGGACATTGCATAATGGTAAAAGAACCCATGGAACAAGAAGAGCTGACGATTCTAAATATATACACACCCAATATAGGAGCACCCAGATATATAAAGCAAGTTCTTAATGGCTTTCAAAGAGACTTAGACTCCCACACAATAATAGTGGGAGATTTTAACACTCCGCTGTCAATATTAGACAGATCAACGAGACAGAAAATTAACAAGAATATCCAGGACTTGAACTCAGACCTGGAACAAGCAAATCTAATAGACATTTACAGAACTTTACACCCCAAATCCCCAGAATATACATTCTTCTCAGCACTACATCACACCTTCTCTAAAACTGACCACATAATTGGAAGTAAATCACTCCTCAGCAAGTGCAAAAGAACAGAAATCATAACAAACAGTCTCTCAGACCACAGTGCAATCAAGTTAGAACTCAGAATTCAGAAACTAACTCAGAACCGCACAGCTTCATGGAAACTGAACACCTGGCTCTTGAATGTTGACTGGATAAACAATGAAATGAAGGCAGAAATACAGATGTTTTTTGAAACCAATGAGAATGAAGACACAACATACCAGAATCTCTGGGATTCATTTAAAGGAGTGATATAATTTTTAAGAAGAAATTTTCTGGACATCAAAATCCAGATGTAGGGATTGAAGGAACTGATAAGCAACAGTGGATTCATTCATTTACTAAACAAACATTCTTGAGCACCTTACTTTAGATATTAATGTTATAGCAGTGAACAAAATAAAACAAAGCAAAAAGCCCCTGCTTACATGGAGCTAATATTTTGGTAGTGATGGAAAATTCTAAACAAATACACATGTAACATATCAGGTTGAATGGTCAGGATAAGAGGTTATCTTCTGAGACACTCAATTCACATCTCAAAAGAATCTTTATTTTTCTTCTTAAGAGTTTCTGTGTATATAAATGAGACTGGGTAAGGATGTGGTCTGGATTTTGCCTTTAGAAAAAGAATGGAAAACTTGGTTTCCCTTTTCAAACATCTGGACTGGGGCTTATTCTGTTTCTCCTTCAGTGAGATACTTCCTGAAATAATAACAGCCTCACTTTATTCTCTTGTTGGAGAGAGATAAAGTGCCTAGGAAGGATCAGAAACAAAATTATATCTTAAGAGGACAATAATAACTAGAATGGTTTAGGATGGAAAAATAAGAACCATTAGGTCTTTATGTGTGAGGTTCTCCAGTGCGAAGAATGCTAACTAATACTTTTCATTCTGAGAAGAGGAATCAATGGATTGATATCAAACACAAAGATTTTAATAGACAATAGAATATGCTGGCAGAAGGATTCTTAGACACTGGACTGAACTGTGCTACCAAGAAAGAAGTTGTGCAAAATCCTCTGTGAATCTCTGAGAACAAAGCAGACATCAACCTGTCTGCACACTTAAGAATCCTTGTAAACAGATTGTCTGGAATTTCATTCTGTGATAACATGACTATTCCCCCTCTATTCTTTTAGACTTCTGACTATATAAAAATTTATTTTACTGTTTACATATCCTTCCGTAACATTGATCCCTCCATTTGAACTCTAAGTCTATGCTGTTAACCACATTATAATACTGTCATTCAGAAAGTTAGAGAGGGATTAGGACCCAGGTCTTCTGCCTCCTACATGACCCAGTGCTACTGAAGACCACCTACCCCGAAGGCCTGCCTCATGTTTAAAAGCAAACACAAATCCATCTTGTGCCAAATTTCTTGCTTCAGAAAATGACTAAATGTGGCTCACACGTAGTTAATAAAAATTGCAGCTGAGATGAGACTGTGAGTCATCTGTCATACCCTGGTCTCTCTTTTACTAATCAGTTGTGAGAAACATTTCAAAATCAGAGAGCAGCAGCTAAGAAATATGAGATACTCAGACTTCTTGAGGCAATTAGAGACTAAAGAGCAGAAGGCAAATCAGTCTTCCCGCCTTGACAGTCTTAAAATACACACTGAAAGTAGACTTTGGAGTTATACTATTTGTGACAGATTTTGACCATAACACATTTTCCAAGAGGAAATAAAAATTTAAAAATTACTCACTTCAGGACATGCATTCCACCCTCGTATCAGAAGAGAAGATATGGGCTTGGGAATAGAATAGCCAATGGGAGGTCTGATGTTGTGGTAAGCCATGTCTGCTGCCGCAGCCGCTGCAAACCAAATGGTCATGTCAGTTTTGAAATTCACATATTTATTTCAAGAAACAAATGAAGAGGCAACAACAAAAAAAAAGCGTTAAAAATCAATCTGGGCAACATCAGCAGAGATTAACAGAGACCTCTAGGCTTTTCCCCTCAATGGTCTAAATAAAGTGGTGGATAATTTGATACTATAAGTTTATCTTTATAATTGTTCATTCATTTAGTTTCAGACTCAATAAATAGCAGAGGGCATTTATAAGGAGTGAAAGAATATGCAGAGAGCAAGTAGTTTTGTCTGTCTGAAGTATAGGGTATGTACATGATATTATAAGAAGGAAAGATTGAAAGGAAGATTAAACAAGACAGTATGATGTCATAAATCACAGGCCAAAGGGCTTATACTGTGTGCAGTAAACATGGGATACCACTGAAACTTGCACTTCTGATAGCACCTGTATCACTTGAGCAAAATAGATTTTTTAAAGCTTAAATCCTATTACTGGTTACAAGGTTGTTGGGGTTTTAATTTTTAATATTTATATAGTAATTCTTATTTTTAAAATTCTCTGGGACACTTCAAATCCTTATTTTAGCTAACAATATTCATTGACTGAATTCTCTTGCATTGCCTGCCTGCATGGATTTCTGAATATTGCTCATCACAAACTCCGCATCACTGTGTTGTGATTCTTAGAACTTCATTGTAGATTCCTGATTGCTAAATATTTCCTGTTATGCAACCAACGATTTCTATACTCCCTTAGAAACCAAGCTTGTAGCTACTTCTATGGAACACATTTTGAATCAGGCATCATGGTAGATAACTACACAAACTTTAATCCTCCTAACAACTATGCAAAGTAGGTGTTGTTGTTGTTGTTGTTGTTGTGTGTGTGTAACTAGTTTTTAATTTATAAACATTTTACATATAACTAGTTGGTGCAGCCTTTTGTTTCAAAATCCACGGTCTCTTCAGCACACATTATAATGAAAATACTCTGTAATCAACACATGATGCTCTGTTTATTCCTCACATAAATTGCTCTGCATCAGTGGCAGGATAAAGTTTCAGGACATTCCTGCTTCCTATCTTTTAGATTGTGGTGTTGTAAGTATCTGCCTATATCTTCAATGACTTTCGAGATGTAACCCACAACTACTATCTCTACTCTACCAAAATTTACTCCCATCAAGTTCTGTTTATCTATACACTTTCAGTAGATCTAGTGAAATTATATGCAATGTGATTTGATCAACACTTTGCTTTGTGCATTATTCTGGATTATTACCTAATTTTGCCAATTGTGAAATTAATATTTGTTCTTTGTAGAAGTTTAAAATATTAAGAGATTTAGAAGGAATAAATGTTATCATTTAGAAGAAACCATTGTTAAAATATTTCACATATTTCTTATATATTCTTTACATCATTGAGCTTATGTCAATATACAATTATGTAATTCTTTTTTCCTAAATATTAAAAAACTAATGTAAGCAATTAAGCATTTTCTCATGTTATTAACACTCTATGTTAGCATATTTAATGACTGCATTTAGCTTTTAATCATTTCCCAATTTTAGGTTGCTCCAAGTTTGGGTGTAAACACTTCAAAGAATATCTTTTCAACATGAGCTGCCAGATTTCATAGATTATTCATTTATGATATTTTGAGGACTGAAAACGATGTGCCAAAGTACATAACTACTTTAAAGACTTTGGTACAACGATTATTTTAACAGTTGTACTAAATTTATACTCTCAAGAGCATGTGTGTGAGGATTATCATTACATCTGCACCAGAATTAGGTTTTTTCATTTTATAAAAGACGTTACTAATTTCAGAGGTAAATATATCCACTCATTTTTTGTTATTTAAATGGCGTTCTTACTTATGAAATATGCCACTACTTATCAAATGTGTCTTTTGTGTCACAAAAAAATAGGCACTATGGATTACTTTCACTGGTTACTCTTGAGTGTTTTAAAATTATTTCTGGAATGAGGTAAATCAATATGAAAACAAACTGGTGCTTGGCAATCATTGATCTTCTAACTACTTTGTTACCTTATGATCATTTGGATATTTTTGAGCTGGTGTAGCTAAAAGCACATAAGCCAGTATGGGTAGCACATTTAAAGTAATTATACATAGCCTAATGGGTGGGGAGGGACTAGTCATAAAACGAGTTAAACTTAGATGCAAGTGCCAACCATTCCCCTTTGAAACTCTTTTAGATGCTGATATCAAATGTATAGAGTTACTTGTTTGCTTCTTGGCAGTGTGTCTGGAAAATCAGTTTAAGATGAATGATATTTAATTCTTCATTATTCAAAGTAGATTCTGCAGTCTTGGCATCTCCTTCTCCTCTGCTTTATGCACTCTTGGCAGTAAAGCTGCTCATTAGCGCCTCCACCAGAAAGTGGGCGATGCAACATGAGGGGTCATGAAATTGAAATTTGTCATCCTGAGATTGTTTTGTCAGTCTTGCCTAAGCAGCCACGTTACACTAACAGCTGGGAAATTTTCTAGTATTACAGATTCAGGAAGGAGATGTTAGCCCAATAATAAAATTTTTACCTTGATTTATTAAAAAAATATGTTAAAGGATTTATGTAAATATTGGTTTCTACTTTACAGAGTGAGATTTTGCCATTAAGGAGAATAAAGCTAAATTAAAAAATATTAATAACTATTTATTGAGCAACTATTATTATCCTGAAATATTTATCAATAGTTTAATAAAAACAATAATCTAGATTCTAGAGTAGGAGTATCTAATAGAACTTTTTGCAATGATATAAATGTTCTACGTTGTTCAATATGAAGCATAAAGTTACAGAGCACTTAAAATGTGGCTAGTGTGACTGAGAAATTGAATTTTTAATTTGTTTAATTTTATTTAATATATATTTAAGTCGTCATGGTCAGTGGCTTTCATATTGAACAACGTAATTCTAGAGCATAGCTCGCGGTCCCATTATCCTGAATTACAAGACTTGAGTTAAACACAATATTGTGAGTCAGTCTCAGAGTCTACATAACCATAGTGTCAATTTGTGGATTCAACTTCTCCCTTGCTTATCAGTACTTTATCAAGAAAATGAAAGACATGAATGGATATTGTTGATGTTGTTTCTCAAACGTTTCAGACCTGCGAAAAGCTACAGAACAGCCATTCAATACAACATGTGATAACTTCATTCATTTATTCATTTGTCAAAATGTACTATTTTATGTAAGTGATAATAAACCAAAAATAATCTGGTATTTTTTTTTCAATGAAAGCTGCTAAATGAAGAAATAATAAACAAGCGAATGACTAGTTTTTTCACTTCATTTTATGGTTCAGTCATTAATTCTAAAATGTGATTTCTTTTGCCTGGAATGTTCTCCCCTAGCCCCTTTCCTTTATAAAATCTACTGTCATGAAGGTCTTATCTTTGATTCACTTTTCCTGGGTACACTTCCTATGCACTCTTATAGCAACCTGTACTATTATAGCATGCATTATACTTAATTGCCTCTTTATTTGTCTGTCTCTGCATATAGAGCATAAATGCTGTGAGGTCATGGACTGTGTCTTTTCACCATTGTATATTCTGTGCCTAGCACAATAACTGGCTATTACTAGGTTTCCAAATGTATGCATTAATTCCCTTAGGATAATGGCCTCCAGCTGTATCCATGTTGCTGCAAAGAACATTATTTTGTTGGTTTTATGGCTACATAGTATTCCATGTTGTTTACATACCACATTTTCTTTATCCAATCCACTGTTGATGTGCACGTAAGTTGATTCCATGTCAATGCTATTATGAACAGTAGAGATCATTATCCCAAGGGTATTAATGCAGGAACAGAAAACCAAGTAACACATGTTCTCACTTATAATTGGGAGCTAAACATTGGGTACACACGGAAATAAAGATAAGAACAACAGACACTGCAGACTACTAGCGTAGGAAGGGAGAGAGAGGGGCAAGTTGAAAAAATTCCTGTTGGGTACTATGCTCACTACCCAGCGATGAGATTCATAACCCAAACCTGAGCATCACAAAATACTCATGTAACAAACCTGCACATGTACCCTCTGAATCTAAAATAGAAGTTGAAATAATAATAAATGAAACAATTAAAAAATGTAGGCATTTTTAAATTATTTAACTGGAACTGAAATAAATTCTGATACATAGGACTCAGTAACATTTATTGAATAAATGAATGAAGATGATGGCTAAACAGCAATAAATATCTTATTCATTATTATGTTTAGAGAACAGAGAACAATGCTTAACCATCAATAAACACTGTAGAATGAATATAATGCTTAGTTTAATTTTAGATGACAACATGATCAGGTGAAGTACTGAAATCTCATGGCAAATTTAATCAACGACGATATTATCTTTCATTCAAAATATGGAGGGAGGTGCTTCGATAAATTGAAGCAGAATGACATAATAAGTACCTTTATCAAGAAAATCTGTGGTCTAATTTTCAGTCTGGCTCTGTTGTAAACTCTCTGGGAGACACTAATTAAGCCGATATGTCTCATGAGCATTAATTTGGCTAAATGTAAGAAGCAGAAAAGACACAATATATTGGTGGCAAGCATGGGATTTGAAGACAGGGAACCCGAGTATTTCAGTCTTGATTACCCTCTTACTAGCATATGACATTCACCAAATGTCTTATCCTAAAAGAACCCAACCCACAGGTTACTAGGACCAAATGCGATAATATACATTGAGCACCAGGCACGTTACTGGCTCTCAAGAAGTGGACCTGCATTGTCGTTGCTATTATTATCATCCTGCACATCTAAGAGTCTTACCGATTCTTTTTGGTTTGAACTTAGAGAACTAGACATTTTGTTTATTTTGTTTAACACCAGTCATCTAAGGTCCTTTTTAGGTTCTCTTTGGGTATGAACACAAAGTAAAATATTTCATTGAGTTACAGCAAATTTTAAGGCTAAAACCCATCTCATTGGTCATAAGCCTCAGC